GCCTGCATTTCGCGCACTCGACACGCACGATCTCCGCAGAGGGTTGCACTTTCGGTTGACGCTGTTCGTCCCGCCCTCCGCCTTTAAGAGAGAATTTATAAAGTGGGGAAATGTTTTTTCATTAGGACATCTCCCGTGCTAGTTTTCCATACTCACACTTGCCTACTCATTGCATGCTTGCATGCTCAAAGCATGCTTGCGTACCCATCACTTGTATACTTACACTGCGTGCTTGCCGAGTGTCACTGTGTATGTGTAAGTGTCCATGTCGAAGTGTCAGTGTATGTACTGCGAATGTGGTGGAAGTGTCAGTGTCTAAGTGTAAGTGTCGAAGTGTCAGTGTTCAAGGGATTTTCCGGAAGAACCCTTCGCAATGCTTTCGGGAAAAACACCTTAAACAACACCATATGTCGCTTCCACACAAGTTCGGTGTGGGTAGATCTCAGCACTAGTCGCCTGTTTGATGCAGGTTGGATGCTTCGTACTGGAAATTGACATTCTGTGGATTGCGTATTCCAATTGTGCGTGTAGAGTCTGTAGAATCTTCTGTATATCAATTCAAGTCTATCTTTCTGACCTGATGCATTGGGCACCAGCTATGGCCTTCCTTCAGGTTTCGTTTACTCTTTAAAACTTTAAACGCTGTTTGGTCCCTACACTCTGTCGAAAGTCTGATTGAAAACGCAGCCAACCTACACCAGAACTAGCAGATTAGATGTCCCGAAAAGGGCTTTAGGCTTTGGGATGGATTCCGTCAAGAAGAGTAAGAAAGGGCCATTTGCAGCGCAAACCTTGACCATGGTACATCATCCGATCATTGTCCAGCTTGATCAATGTGACCTTGTTTTGAAGTCACTTAAACTCAAAATGAAAAGAGTCCACTTAGCATGTCATTATCGAGGTATCATGGCCTAAGTGACCTCGTTGTCATTTTGATATCGAGGGGTACCCCAGGGGCCGTCGATCGAGAGCCCGCCACAGGCGACCGGTGCTTGGTCGCTGGAGCACCTGCAGGCTCAGGTTGTCATGGACCATGGTTGTAGCATGCATGCTGGCATATATTAGATGCAACTAGGAACATCGCATAGAAATGCCTCAGCAGTAAAGATAGTAAAGCATGCAACAGCTGCTATAGCTAGCGAGCTTGGATCCACTTTGTGCCATGGTTTCTGGGATGATGCTCAAAGAGTTGTCGGACCAGGGAAAGAAACTTGGCAACATGGTCTCAGGGGGATCCAGGAGTACATGGTACTGGGATGTGTTGACAACCCCCCCATGGTTGGTTCTGGCTGGGCAACTTAAAAGGTTGGAATTCTGAATTGTTGTGGGGCTTTGGGTTCACATCTAAGGAGGCTTCGAAAAGCCATCGAGAAGAACATGGATGTTTCAGCCATCCTTGAGAGCCAGGAGATGGTCCCTGGGGGTGACCTGCGATTTCGTGGCAACGAGTGGCTCCGCCATGCATGGGAGTCTGTGGAACACAAGATCCGAAGGGTTCCCCGGGAGGGGGAGGTTCGCAAGATTGTGGCCCAGCTTGTTCACCATCACCATATATGTGTCTTGGAACAAGCTTGGTAAATATGCACACCAATCTGGACTTTGAAGGCTCACCATGTGGAGTACTATGGTTTTGTAAACTTTACCAAGGTCATCACAGGCATCAACAGGACATTGACTCCTGGGTCAGAGAGCAAGAGCCATGGCTTAAGTATAGATGTGTGAACCATTGAACCCGGACCCATTGTTGACTTCAATCGAGATATTTACATCGAAATACCGAACTCATGCTCATGTTGAGGCTTCTCGTTGCCATCATGTGCTTCTTCGCTGTCGGAAGATGTCATCCCGACCTTCATCCAGCTCTCTCTCTGTAACCAGTGCCACGTCCCTTTAATGCACGATACTTTGAACTAGGGTTGATGCATGTTGATACAAACAAATCGTTCCAAAAGGGCCCCCCTCCAAGGAATCCTGATGCGGTGGAAACACAGGAGAGCGAGATCCTCAATGGTTTGGATTCGATAGACTGGCTCCTAAGCTTCATTGAGAGAATCAAACATTCGAATTAAGATGTATATACATGCAGCTAAGGTCCACATGTGGGTCTTTCAGGTCCTCTTTAACAACGACTGTTGAGGCTGATCCCAATCGAACCGTCCATGCTCTAAACATAGTCAACAGACCTCCTCCCTGCCTCCCTGAAGCTTTTCTGTCAGGAGCACCAGGAACCAAAGCTGAAGAAACGAAAGCCACAAGGTTCACCAGAATGTGAAGAAACCAAAGATGTGGCGACAGAGGTTTCACCTCGAAACCTTGGTCCAGAGTTCGATCAGACTGTGGAGACTGAGGAAGACTCAAGTGAGGAGGAGGGAGATGAAGATACAGGTGACGATGGGAAGAAGGCTGAAGAATCAAAGGCAAACAAAAAAGGAATCTGTGAAGATTCAAGCGATGATGAGGAAGAGGAAGAAGAGAAGAAGGTTGAGGAGATTAAAGGAGATGATGAAGACTCGAGCGATGAAGAAGAAGAGAAGGTTGAGG